CTCCCTATTTTTTAAACTGAATGGATTAATTCTTTCTTCTTCTTTTTTCACTTTTGCTTATACCTATGGATTAAAATTCTCCTTTTTTTATAATGGTTAATTTGATTGATTGGATTGTTTTTGAACTCCATTTAAGGGTTTTTCTTTCTTAAGCTTGGAATATAAAGATGATAATAAGAAGGATTATAAGGAGGGTTGTATACTCCGAAAAATACGGTATGTATTTTGATAAAACCATGGCAAGTAAGATTCTTAGTAACAGTGCATCTAAATAATCCATAAAAATTAATGGCATTGTATACACTTTTAATTTTTGCACAGATAGATAAATGAACTAGAGAAAGATTTATAGAAGATATAGACACAACAATGTAAAATAAAAGTCAATTAATAGTGTGATTATAACAGCACTACCTACTCTGTGGATGATACCAGCTGAATGAAGATGTTTGATCCCACACAACATCTGGTATAAAAGATAGGACATTCTTTCATGATCCAGCTCCATATGAATAACTTGGCATAAATTAGCATCCATCAATTCCATAACCAAATACCTGAAATATTTTTTTAAAGTAATTAACATCTATTCTATTTAATGCATACCCAGGTCAAGCCATCAGTGTATTTTCTTCAATATAAAATAATTTCAGTACAATAAATGAAATAAAACAGGCTTAAAACTATAGTACAGGTAGCCCTTGCTTAATTAACACTTGGGACCAGCAACTTAATCACTAAATTATGTGGTCGCTAATTACATGGCCATGATGGATTTCTAAATCATTTCCCATTCAGTTATTAAGCGAGGAAACACATGACCACAACTTGCAATTTTACTCTTGGCTTTTCCAGTGATTTTCCTTATTGGAAACTGGCTGTGAAGCACACAAATTGCAAAAACATGACTGGAAAACACTGATTTAGTAAGTAAGCTGATTGTAAAGTGCGTGAATCTTGATCATATAACTACAGGGATCTTGTGATGACTGATTGTACAGTTACTTTTTCAGAAGCATACTAACACTGAATAAGTTGCTCTGTAGCAGGGGTGTCAAACTCAATTTCATTGAGGGCCACATCACGGTTGTGTTTGACCTTCGGGGGACCAGGTGGATATGGCCAGGGTGGGTGTGACCAGCTTGATGTCACTCATGTCGAGTCTGCCTGTGGTGGCCTGAGCGATCTGCCAGTGAAAATGGACCTCAGGAGGGCTGCATGAGGCACGCACACACGTAGCCCTCCTGAGCTCCATTTTTGCTGGCAGAGGCACCGCAAGCCAGTCCTTTGCTGTTTCCAGGAGGGTCCCGCGGGCCAGATCTAAACATCCCATGGACCAGATGCGGCCTGTGGGCCTTGATTTTGACACCCCTGCTGTACAGGGTTGTCATTAAGTGAGGACTACTTGCATGTTTATGCAGAAATCATTTTAATCAAGGATTGCCATAGTGTTTAATAGTCAGATATGCACTTTTTATTTTATTTTAAAATCAAATAGAAAGCACGTTGTATAAATGGAATAGGGAACAGAAAATTACAATTAAAATGAAATAGTTGATTAAAGTGTAAAACCTGAAACATTTCATTGAATTATTCATTTTTTTCTCCATAGCAACACTGTTAGGTCAGGTGGATGAAGAAAGACTAGCCAAACTCAAACTCTTGAGTTTCAAACAGTTTGAGAATAGACTAGCAGCTGGATTTTCCTAGTGCCCTTACAATTTGAGTATTTGAGTATTTATTAATACTTATAGGCCGCCCTTTTCCCTGAGGGGACTCAGGGCGGCTTACATAAAATGA